CGAAATGCTTTAAAAATATAGAAATCTAAGTTACGAAAGATCTGTCCTAAGCAACAAGAAGAAATCGTCAATTTTAAATATCAAGATAAGCGGCAGTCGTAAGAGTAACGATAACTGTTGTTTATAGAGGCAATGTATTTAAAATCCGTGAATATAATTATAACTGAATTATTTTTTATGAAGTTGGTATAAATAACTAAAAGTATAAATATGTCAATAATAGTTTTAGCGTGGTGCAAAGTTTTAACTAACTTCAGCTCGATCTAATTTCTCTTATGGAAGTATGTACTTAGGAGAAAGAAGGGCCAATATCTCAAATATATAAATTTTATATCACAACGATTTTTTTTCAACCGCTTTTTCAACCATTTTTTCATTTTATTTGTACTCAGAAACATTAGTTGCGAAGGCCATTCCTCTTGTAGAAATTAAATATTCTGAAGAAAGCGTGTTGGCCTTTTTGCTAGCTTAAGTTTGACTACAAGAAAGAATGCGTATCTCTATAAATTTTTTTTGGACATCGGTCTTTTTTCTTCTAGTTACACGTATACATATGCTTTTACATAAAAAAAGATAGATCTATAGTATTAATTACATATTCGCTCATGTAAAATAAAATACAAAATATAGGAGCCGTAGTTTTTTTTTCTAATTATAATGTTTAAGAATGGATTATTAAAATGTGATGATGTTTAGAGGCATAGTTAATGTGTCATTAGATTCCAAAAGATAGGATAAATAGTAGAGAGCAATTATTTATTTTCGAATAAACGCACTATCTATACATTGTAAAAGTAGCAAGTCTTCGCAGCTCCGATCTATCTAGTGAAATACTGTGAATTATGTGTATAGCATTTTTTCATTGTAATGTCCAATTGTAATATTGCGTGTAACAAGACTTCAATCGCATCAGATACGCAGTTATCATTAGATCGTTAAATTCACGGACAATGTACATAAAAATAAGAGAGCAGGAATTCTATTCTACTTGAAGATATATGTATTTATACGTATTTGTACACTTGTGTTTTAACCGTTTGAGTACCAAGGAGGGATTTTGCACTTCTTCTGTTTCGCTCGAAAAGTACCAGCGTTCTAGGCTGCGAAGCCGATAACCGGCACACGCTCGGCTTCTGTCGATGCGCGACTTTACGGCTACCATTACGTTTTAGATAAAAATGAAATAATGAGACAACTGATAAAAGAACGAATTTTAATTGCAATCTAACATTTGGATGCAATCATCGGAGAATAAGACAAGCGCTATCGCGTCGTTTAGCATTTCTGGGTGGGGAATAAGACAAGCGAAAAAGCGCTCCTTGGCACGTTAGGACGGGGAAACAGCAGAGACGCGTGGCACTCAAACGGTTAACATTGAAAGTGTCCGAAATTTTTCTATATATTTTGGTGAAAAAAAAACAAAGATAACTTTGCATTGTATAATTGCTAACTTCTAATGGCTACGTCACACGGTGATATTACAAATGCAAACATTACAACGCTATTAGATGAAATGATGTCTTAGCAAAGATGTTTCTATTCGTTATGAAAATATGACGTTCAATGTAATATTAGACTAGAATATAAAATATTGAAGGAGTATTATTTAACATTGTATACTTACACTTTATAAACTTTTTTTATAATTACAAACTATTATAAATGTGCTTTTATATATATAAACACCCGGTGAACTTTATATTGCGTTATACACTCAATAAAGAATACGTATTTTACTTACTTTCTCGGAGTATACAAAATAAACATTTCATCTTCATCCGTGACCCCTTAGAAAATAGCAGCGAATATCTATAAAACGGCCTATGTATTTACTTCAACACCGTTTATTTTCTATAGAAAGACAATTAAGTACACAAGATTCTTAGGAATTGATGAGAACTTCTTCTACGTGTGAAATAAATGTGTTTATTTGACGAGAAAATATAGGCAGTACGTAGCCAACGCTACCCAGTGACTAGCAAAATCGAGCTGAGCCCACTTATCAATGGTATGGCTGTAGCTGTACCCTGTTTCTTGTAAATCCGACGTATCAAACATGAGACCTAGATAAGCTAAATGAAACATCGTCAAACTGGAGAACGCCATGTTTGTCATAAATACCCACAAACAATTGTAAGAGGTATACTTGTGCGTGCATCTCGCCGAAGCGCACTGTTTGGACGCGACACAGGCGTCGAAAGTATCGGCTAGCATAGTCCTGAGCTGAAACTCGACGTACGTGTAGAATCCTAAACTAAGTAACACAGCTGCCAGCTGAAAATTCAGTCCGTGCAGAAGAGCGCTTATCAGATACGTGACGGTTACTGCTCCGAATTTTCCCAATCGTTTAATGCTGGGACGGAAGATGTCTGTAAAAAAAAAAGAAAAAAAAACTAAAATGAGTATTGGTCCGACATATTACTTTCATATTAATCAAGCGCTTATACGTACACGTCTTCAGCCAGTGGTGCATCGGAATATTCCAATGAATGACGACTTGGACAAGAGAGCGCGGTAACTCAATATGAAATGGTCTGACCGTTGTTGACAATGAAAGAGGAAATCCAGCGAGGATCAACAACGCCGAAGCTACGTAAGAGATGAAGTAATGAGATGATCTGAAAGCTAACGCGTCTCTGTACGCGATCAACCACCTGAAATACAAAAACGATATCTCTTCGTACTGAACAAAAACACAATTAGAGATGTATCAAACATCTTGAAGTAGCAGGTTCTACTAACTTCCAGGAGTTATTTACAAATATCCACTCTGTCCAGCAGTTTGAAATGCTCAGGAAGACAAATGCAAGGAAGCCGTACCCTATACCATAGCTTATCTGCCATTTCTACGATGAAAATTTAAACTTTCAATTGCAACACGCAGAATAATTGGACTGAATACCTGTCCAGATATGTACCTGGATGTCAGAGGTACGCAGTGAAACGTAATCTTCGAATGGTATCCATGGCCCGAATAGGCAAGTTACACCACAGAACATGTAACTCATGTAACTGTAAATATCTGGCAAGTCGTTCGAGTCAGTTGTATCAACGGTGATACTGATTACCTTCATCGCCATAGTCATAATCACGCTGCGTACCTTATGCCATATTACTGGCTCCATTGAGAATTCACTGGAAAAGTGAAGATCAACATCAACATTTATCTAATCTGCTGAAATAGGAACAGAACGTTTAACGATATCATTTATTTCGTAGGCACGTACCAATATACAATCGTCAAAAGAGACAGTAAGAAGATTCCTACATCGCCATGCCATTTTTTCGGAATGTACAAAATACCGTAGGAAAGTAGAACGAATACTATCAGTATGACTAAACATTCCTGCATGTAATACTGAATAATATACAAGCCTACGATTACCGACAATGTATGAAATAATCTGTGCGATACGTATGCTGAAACAGAAAATCACGGTCATTTTAATCATGATACAAATGAAGTGAATCTAAAAGAAGATATATGATAGTCTGTAATGTAAACGATAAAAAAAAAGAGCCTTACGGGTGTGGACGAACAGTCTAAATAATATCGTGCTACCCAATAAAGGTAACATATAACGTCCCGTATCGTACAGAGTGGGACTAAGACAATATTGGTAAAGTTCGTAGAGATTTTCCTTCTCTGTATCCACATAGTCGTAATCGTACTCAACATTGTGCATACAGTCGTAATCAATGCAATCGTCCTCATCGTCATCGTAGAAAATCGTAGCACCTACATCTTCCATCACAACCGGGACGAGGAGGAACCCAACAACCAATTAACATAGCACTTGCAAAATTGCAAAATTGAGGTGCTCTGTGTTTTGCGCTACCTGCGTCTTAAACAAAACAAAACGAAACGTGAAGATTCCGCAGATGAAAGAGAATATGGATAGGATACGATTGACTTTCACATGAGTAATTGTTTTAAATGAAATATGTAAATACCGTTCAACTGAATTATTTGAGCGTAAGAGCACTAAGATGTGTAAAGGAAACTATCTTCGCGTCCTTCGAATATCCGATATGTATTCCATGCAATAAATTATTGTTATATGTTGCGAAAATAGTATCTTCCTTGGTTTCGCCGTTTTCTGTTATAAACCGATTTGAAAAATTCAAAAACTCCGCAATGTTGTTTGTTATCTACATACACAAACGTACTGCACGCTCTGCGCACGCTGCAGCACGCTGTCAGGGCGCCATGACAAATTGTATTCTTTGGCGCTTTTATTCGAATTTTTCAAACTGTACAAAGAGATGTGTTATAAATCGCTATTTTTTAAATAAATGTATTTAAGCATACAAATATAAAAATGGCCACACATCACACGATAGAATTATATATTGTTAGTATATAGTCAATACGCAACTAAATTCATAAATAAATTCATATTTTATTGCAATAGCACGTTCATAATTCTACAAAAGAAAATTATACGAATTATTACTGTTATTATTCGTATTGCTGTTCCTATAATTACACAGTCTCGTTTTTACGCTATATATAAATATAAATAAAAGATCTTACAGTGTAGAAACTAAAAGAAATAGGAAAGACATGTGTTGAAAAATGTAAACTGATAAATTGTAATTGCAAATTGTAGAAAAAATGGTATATTTCAACACACTTCCTTCCATGTTGTTTATCTTATATTGTTTGTAACATTGATCACGTATAGAAATATATGTCATACATTGGCAACTCCACATTTTTACTTAATGCCATTGATATTATCTATCATTGTAAAAATATAAATTAAGTAATATTAATTTTAATGTTTTATATAGAATTCTAGAAATTTGGATGAACGCGCTTTTTGAGAAAAAGATGAACGTTAAACTGATTCTAATCATTAATTATATTATATAAATAACACAACAGTGTTGTAGAAAAAATCAAGTTGCCAAACGTTCAATTTTTCTCGGGAATATTTCTATGAAAGCGACTACAAAACTTATCGATGAGAAATAAAATATCGCTATGTAACAAAAAATCAATTTACATTCTTTATATAATTACAGTAATACACATATGATTATGAAGGTAATAGACCCAAACTTTGCAAACATATCTGGGCAGCTTCTGCTTTTGCCTGCTTCTTGTTAGGGCTTGCAACACTTGGCTTGTATTCGATGCCATTTACTTTTACCTGTAACATATTAAATGTATGTGTACATATTTCTTTAAGATTAACATTACGTATGTTATAATTACTCACTTTAAAAAGGAAATTTTTCCTATGATCTGGACCACATTCAAAACACAGTTCATAAACTGGTGCTCCGAATTTCCTTTTTGAACAATATTCGCCCAATAACGACACTGGGTGTTTGCCTGCAATGCAAAAAACGATGCAAACGATCTAACTTGGAACATGTTTCACTAAATATACGACACATGAGCAAATAACGTATTTCAAATCAAACATTGAAATGTACCTTCCAACGTCTTCACTGTTGGCACCACAGGCTTCGTTGCTCTGTTACCTTTCTGTCCGATATCTTGATCAGAAACTAGCCCTCTCTTATCCAATTTAACTTCTAGCTGTAGCGGCTCCAAAGCTCCTTCTTTATTCTTGCCTAAGCCTTCACCTGGCCGCCACCCCATCTTTTGCAGCAACGCCATACCCATTCCACCTGATACAGGCTGTGCCGATACTAATTGATCCTAAATAGTTTGTTGAATTAGTAAACAACATCTTACATCCTTACGTGCATCAAAATGTATAGCTTTAAAGCTTCATGTATCCTAATTTCTGAAGTCAATAAATATATAACTGATACACAAAACTTGCGCGTTAAGTGCATCATATTTCATTTTACATAAATCTTATATTATTTATTACACATTATTTATACACATTTTATTTTACATAGATTTATAAGGAATACAGATTAGATGCTTCTCTTAAATCTCAGTTTAATAGTGGTTAAAAAGTACTCGCGTCTTAAATCTAAAAGTGCAGTTACTATAATCTGTTATACAATTTGCATAGGAATACTTACTCACACAGTGGACAATATATTCTTCATCAAGCAGCCGAAGTGGTTTCTTCTCTGATGTAGCTATGTGCCTGTAACAAACCCTCAGGTGGATGCAGACTAATGCTAAATATCCCAGCTTTAAGATTAAGAGGCAATGTACCAGCTTCTGATGAAATCCTATGGTAGGAAGCTGACGATAATTAGCAGTAATCTCACAAGAGCATATTATTTCGCTCAATTGTACTAAAAACTCGTCGTTTGCAGTGCAATTTGAAATTATCGTTGATTAAAGATCTCACAAGATCTTAGCTTACAATTCTTGCGTTGCTTGTTACCGGAATTGCTCTTGGGACGGGTTAAACTTGCAAGTCTACGCCGATTTATGAGAAATTAAGGAGCACGAAATATATCTTGAAATAAATGATGAGAAGTGAAGACTGTTTAATGATATACCTGCAAATTTTATCACGATTATACGCCTTCCAAAATTTTACCTCAGAATTATACTTTGGCAAATTTTGCGATTTGATCTGAAATAATAGTGCTCTTGTGTCCGTGCAGGCACAGAATCCACCTCTACATGAGAAATAGTCTGTGCCTACAACACAGTCTCTACTAAATCAACGTTAACTTTGAATTGATGCTAATAGAGACTGTACCTGAAAACTTGTTACAGGCAATATCAGTGTCAATGATGCATTACTAAACAATGACAGAACCAGAATCTCAAATAATCCATCACTCGACACTAGCCCAGAACATTAATACGATCATGTCATAAATTTCTGGCATATTTCAGAGAATATACTGGCTCTGGTTTCATTGTTTAGAAATAGGAAATCATAATATCATGGATATACGGTTGAAAATGCACTTACACATCAAACATATTTTTCTCCAGTGATGATTTCAATTGTGATTCAATTGTAATTATAATTTTGTCATATGCACAATATACGCACAGTATATGATATGTTTGATTTGAAAATGCATCACATAATAGGATTTTAGAATAATTGGTTCAAGGACAAGTTTCATAGTTGGAATAAAATGTACAATAATAAATTTTACCTTACGTGCCCAGGCTTGATAACCTGAAGACAGTTCTGCAGGTGTGAGCACTTTGGCTCCTGTACTACCCGTGAACTGACCTGGCATCTGCTTACTCTCAGCCCAAGTTTTCATCTATAATATCAATGAGTAATATTTGTTTTAATTAATATCTATGCGATAAAACTTCTACATTACTTTAACTCTTCTTCTCTCTCTCTCTCTCTCTCTCTCTCTTCTTACCTCATTTTGTGCTTGATGCATCGCGTTCAATGCATTAACGTCATTTGGATTTTCCCTTAATTTTCTCATGGCTGCTAACCTTTGAGATACTATAGAGCCTATGTCGACAACCTGTGATTATCGAGGTTGCTTTTAAAAATTACGATTTCTCAACATTAATTGTAATTATATATTTGTTTTTATTTTACCTCTGTTGTTGGGAAAACAGTTATCGGTGTTGGTTGCAAGGGAGATGGTGGTGGCATTATTGCTGGTGGACCGTTTGTAGATGCTGGTACGAATATTTTTTTTGGTTCTGGTTTCTTCGGTATAACTGGCACCCATTCGCTTTCTGGAAGCAAATATTGTATCTTACATCTCTCTCTCTCTCTCTCTCTCTCTTTCTCTCTTTCTCTCTCTAAAACTTTGGAGTAGTTGTCACAGGCATAATGGGCTAAGTTAGGCCTTGAGAAATATTGCGTGTACTATTTGCAAATAAAGAGATATGTGTTAGTTTGAGAGTTAGTTTGGAGAATAAGGTCAAACAAGTGTTAACACTTGAGATTGCTCGAAGACACTTGTGAAAATGGACGAAAACTTTCCCCACCTGACAATCAACAAATAGTCGTAAAAGGCACGTGAAATAAGACCTATTCGTGTAAGAAAACACAGCTGTTTAAAGGAGTGAAAAATATGCCCTCACGTATAAAATTCCAAGCTGATCTTGATTTTCGTCTATTTTTACAAGTTTGATAAGTATGTCACAAGTCGCAGCTGCATAATAAAGCACATAACGAATTGACACGCGAGAAAAATTTCTTTGTCGACATGCCACTCTTCACGCGTATAAATGTGGTCTAGCAAGCGCTATAAATTTTTCGAAACGTTTCTCCTTTTTTTTCTTTCTTTGTTCGGGTCCAAAAGATAGATGAAGAGAGAGAAACCCTTCGAAGTATTTGTAGCGCCTGCTGGACCGCACTCTGTCAGTTCATTCTTTTGTCATTCTAAACTGCGTCGCCATTGTCAACACGAAGTTTCTGGCCGACCGTTAAACTTCGAAAACAAGAACGAAATACGAAAACAAAACTATATCTGAGATACCAGTCTTTCTGTGTTGTTGCCCGCTGGAGACAGGGAACTGTAATCGTAGCTGATTTGATGTTTCAGCTGCCTTTTCTTGGAACGTTTTCGTCGGCAATTGTTTTGCGTCCTGTGAGTGGGAAAATCAAACTTATTACATTTTACGGTACAGTTACCGGTAAAACAATACTGTGGAAATTGGCATGAAAAAAGAGAGTGAGCTAAATTTATATTACCAACCTTAATATTCATTATAATAGAACTAGGTCTTTCCTTCAGAAGGAAAGGGTGATGAAATCCTTTCTCAAATTCGCTTTCCTCTTCGGAAGAGATATTGGATAGTTCCCCTAATGCTTCAGACTTCGACAATGTTTTGCAAAAATCTAAGATAATATATAGCCGATTACAATTTACTGGTAGTTAATTATTATTATATATATACTAATATTAATGTAAATAAAGAAGAAATACCTGTAAGTTCATCCACCGTTTTCCCACCAGATTGTATAGCAGCGATAGCTTTATCCTGTTGAGCTAGCGGCAAAGTCCCTTGTTTTATCATATTTATAGCATTCCTCCTTGCAATTTCCAAAAGCTTCTTCTTATCAATTTCTATCCGTTCCCTGCGATAAAAACGTAATGTTACGTAAACTACAAATAATTCTGGATCTCTCGAAAAACTTAGTGCAATACCAACTTCCTTTCTTTGCTTCGACTTCGGCCTCGCGTATATTTGTCTTTGCTTCTGTCTTCACTGCGACTCCTGTATCTGCGTCTCTCTCTGCCTCTGCCCAAATCACGCCTTTCACTGCTTTTGTCTCTGTCGCGCTTCTCTCTACTTTTGTCTCTCCGCTTTTCCCTACCACCGCTCCTGCTGCGCTGCGAACTGTATCGCGTTTGTGATCTCGATCTTTTTTCATCCTGCGAATGACAACTTCTGCTCCTTTTACTACCCTTGTCTTTTGTATCTTTGTGACTAACGTCATCCCTGCAATCACTGACCCCTAGTTTCTTCTTTTCCTTCTCTCTCAAAACTAGTCTGAGATCATTCTTTGCGGAGACTGCACTCCTCGTCGGACTGTGCATTCTACTTTTCTTTCTATCTCTGCTCGGACTGAAGGACGGTGACCTGAATCGAGGTGGAGTGGGACTTAAAGTAGGCGTACTGATATCGCTACTGCTGTCGGACAGTTCACCATCTTCCATTTTGGCAGCTTTCGCCTTTTTCTTATTCTCAATTTCCTTAACAGTTTCATTGTAAACCGTACTGTTCTTGAGATCTTTTATTAGTATTTTTCCTTGAACAGGCTGCTTCACCTTCTCTATATGTGTGAAATGTTATTATTTATTTTCTGATTATTTCTATTGTCAATTATAGAATATTTTATGAAAGAGTTTGAAGGTATGATCAATATAGTGCAGATTATTAACAGATGAATAAATACGAACCAGTGAGTTTAGATATTATTGGCTCGTAAGACTCATCTTCTACTTTCTTCGTCGATATAGGTGGCAACAGAGGACTCTCACAATCGTTAGTAACCGCGTCTATTAGCTTTTTCTCTATATCCAATTCATTCAGTTTTGTCGTATCCACTATGTCATTCTTCTCTGGCGTGTCGGATATTTTTTTTGTACGATCAGTCTCAAGATTATTACTTTCCAATTTCTGCATTTTCGCTTTCGAATGAGCCGAATCTGACGATTTACTCGAGACGGATTCATGTCTCCGTTTAGATTTCTTCTTATGTTTCTTCTTCTTTTTGCTACCTGATCGAGATGAAGAAAAAAACAGTTACAGTGACATACAATGTTCGACAATATATAGATTGTATAGAACTACCTTCGACATCGCTGTTACTATCTGAGGAATTGTGCTTCGACTTTTTCTTGTGCTTCTCCTTGTGTTTGTGCTTTTTCTTACTCTTTTTCTTCTTGATCTGATGCTTGATTGACTTGTCAGCATCATTGTTGGTGTCATTCGGCGCCTGCTGAGCATCACTGTTCTCCGGGGACGCAACACCATCGTCGGCGTCCGCGTCGAATGTGCTGAAGAGTTCCGTTAGTATTTCATTCGACGATTTCTCCGGTAATCCGGGCTCCTGTTTGATTTTTACACCGTCGACGCCGACAGCCGTAATCAGGTGAGCGATGTCGAATAATTCTGCCATCGCGCATTAACGCTTGTACCTACATTCGCTCGCCTCAACAGGCATACGAGAACTTCGCTCTGACGCTGTTTCGCACCTCAATATAAATAGTGGATCAGAATCAATTTTAACCTCGCGCAGACCAGCACGTTGCACTGCGCCGTTGTCCATCGTGTTACCTCCAATGTCCAATAGGAGGCTTGCGCTCGAAAACCGTTTCATTGGTTACGTTCAGCTGAACATTTATCGTTGAAAGTTTCTGTACTAAGATTGGATTATTCTCCCGGATCTAAAAGAATAATCCAATCTCGGATCAGAAAATCCCCAACAACTGTAAATATTCTGCCGAACGTCTGTTTATGTACCCAATAAAATGCTCTCACAAGTTAGAGTCCGCTTCACGCTGCAAACGGTATGGAGCGCTTAAAGGGGGAACGTGATTGGTCTACTTGGCGTATCGAAATATTTGCAGCGTGAAATGGACCCTAACCGTAAAATCCCAAATGCAACGCACTTGTCGCGCTGGTCAACAGCGACAGAGGCTTTACGTATTTGAATCCGACTCCGTGCAACGAAGCAACGGTCTCTTTAAATTTCCACAAGGTGCTCTTCATTTAAATTGTCACTGTCGTTTTGTGTTGAGCGCACCAGGCGTGCTTCTGGAGGATTATTCTGGAGGAAAGATCGACGTTAGTCGATGTACGTTCAGGATACTGCCGGCAAATCAGTTGAGAAGGTATTCGCACTGATCCCATTGAGTGTTTCACCGTAACAATTTAATTACGTTTACGTCTGCGTTCGTGTTGACGTGTTTCACGTACTTCACGCCCGTTAACATCGGCCTAGTTCTTCGTCTTATTTCAAGTTAACGACGAATTGTTTTAAGCGACTCCTCGTACGATCAGAGCCTGTCTCTTGTCCGCAATTATGTCGCACTTAAGATATATGAAAGAACTCAGCAATTTAACCCGTATGGACGATTCCATAAAAGGACCTCTCCCACGGTGGCAAAAGAAATGTTTGGAGAACTCGAATTCGAGGTAATGATTTTGATATTGTCAGTATTATTCACAATTTTTCTTTTTTGATACTGTGGCTTGAAACATCCAGACAACAAATAAATTTATCTGATTTCTATATAAAAATCTTTAATATTGTTTTACGTACGGTTTGTATTTCAGTGTTAATCTCAGCTTGAACTCGTCGAGAAAAGTTCTAGGTAACTCCATGTCAAGTAGCATATCTGCGAAATCTCCTTCGAAGAAACACGATGGCAGGAACAAGAAGACCCCTTCCAAAGGTTCTAGAAAGTCTCCGAGTAAGATTTTATTCCACCAAAAGAATTTGCTTTCGCTCAATCATATCTTTGTATAATTCGTATAAAGTTTATTTTTTATTTGAGATACATTTAATTACATATATTACAATGATTGCATAAATTAATATATCTTATATTTTAGGCTTCCGCGGTACGGAGAAATGCTTGATTTAGTTCTCGGATTAGCGCTGCATCCTTCATAGATTTGTTCCCTGGTAACAATGAAAAGCAAATCCATGAAGGATGCGGCCAAATCCATGATTTGGGTTCCAGGTTAGCCACCTGGAAACCAAATCAAGCGTTTATGTATCTTTTCAAACTTTTGGTAACAGGTCGTACTCCAGCTAAGACACCCAATGGTGGTGACAGGTTTATTCCCTCAAGATCGACAACTAATTTTGACTTGAGTCATTTCAAAGTAAATTGGCATTTAGTGACTATATAAACACCGAAGCATCACTATATGATAGCTTCGTATTTGTGTTTACACCCTTCCTTGATTTCAGATCCTTCAGCAGCAGAACGCAGATCCAGACAAAGCTGAAGACAAAAGTCCGTCGAAACGAGAATTGCAGCGTCTCATAGGAGAAAATCTTCATGGTGGTGACATAGAGAGCATGAGAGTTTTGTCCTATCATATTAAAGCTCCGGCAGCTCCGGATGGGTATCAGAACCCTCTAAAGGTCCTCTACAGTCAAACTAAAACACCGGCTAGTGTTAAAGCTTCTTCAAGATACATACCTCAAGCTCCTGATAGAATATTGGACGCTCCCGAGATCATTGATGATTACTGTAATTACTCTATTGTTATCACGTATATACTGTGCTTAAGGAGATACGCGGAATCTTCGAGTATAACGATTGCGTATAACTTGACAGATTTGAACTTGGTGGACTGGTCAAGCAGCAATATCTTGGCTGTCGCGCTGGGCGCCAATGTATATTTATGGGATGCCGCAACTGGATCCATTCAGCAGTTATTCGAATTGGAGGCGAACGATTACGTGTGCTCTGTCTCATGGATCCAGGAAGGTCCCCACCTGGCGATAGGCACTACAACGGGAAATACAGAACTGTGGGATTGTAGCGAGATGAAGAGGGTCCGTGTGATGAACGGACACTCGGCCAGAGTTGGTTCTCTCTCCTGGAATTCCCACGTATTATCGAGCGGGTGCAGGTAATACAGAATATTATGGAAAATCTTACACATCGTCATTCCTCGACTATCACACGACGAGCTTATAAATCTCGGACACTTTTGGATTAAAGATCAGGCAAGATAGCGCATCACGACGTCAGACAACGAGATCACCTGATCTCGACATTAAATGCACACGCTCAAGAGATTTGTGGCTTAAAATGGTCGCCCGACGGACATTATTTGGCCAGCGGCGGCAACGATAATATGTTATTGATCTGGCCTTCGATGGCCGGACAGAATTATACTCAGGCTCAGCCGATTTATTCGTTAAATCATCATCAAGCCGCCGTGAAAGCGCTCGCTTGGTGCCCCTGGCAGAACAATATACTCGCGAGCGGGGGCGGTACTGCTGACCGGACCATTAGATTCTGGAATTGCAACACAGGCAAGTTTACGATACGTTCGCAACACACGGTTGAATAATAAAGGCTTCTAGGGTAGAAAATGTAAGAAGGAGACCGGTGCGAACGTCCGAACGGCAGGTGTCGATGTATTTGTACGTGCGGTGAGTTAATGGTTGCGCCGTGAAATCTGACTGCTCGTTTTGTTGTAGGTGCTTGCTTGAATAGCGTCGACACAAGATCTCAGGTCTGCTCGTTGCTGTGGTCGACAAACTACAAGGAAATTATCTCCGGCCACGGTTATGCGCAGAATCAGCTGACGATTTGGAAGTATCCGGCAATGACGAAGGTAGCAGAGCTCACGGGGCATACCAGTCGCGTTTTGCACTTGGCGATGTCACCGGACGGAAGCACAGTGCTCAGTGCCGGCGCCGATGAAACACTGAGGCTGTGGAAGTGCTTCCAGGTGGACCAGCAGAAGAAGAAGGATTACAGCGAAATGAAATCGGTCGCGTCCAGACTTAAGCAGTCGATCAGATAAGATCGACCCGTCCCGCTATACGATTATGTTTCAGTATTTATTTACATTATTTGATTGATATACATGTGATCGGCATATGCGCGTGATGAGCAAACAACATTAGGACGTTGCATTAACCCAGGGATGCACATGCTCGGGATTGCGTGCGAGATGCGTGTGCTGCCTGGAAGTTGTACGGATGCTAATTTTAAGTACGTTTCATAGATGGACTCGGTTGTTCAGGCTCCCCGTGAGATTATAGTTTCTCTAAAGTAATAATTATAAATGTAACAACGAGAGAGAATAAACGTTTTTCTTGAATACACAAAAAATCCTGAGAACTGTCATGTTAATTCATAATAAATTTTTATTCATCTAACTGTGCCAGTTTTCAGTAGAATTTTACCGGGAAATTTCTTGGAAACCTAATTCGGCTTCTATCAATATTTACTTTTAGATTCGTATCCCGTTTTACATATGTATGTGTGTGTTAAGTTTCTTACTACATCTTCCATACACGCCAAAGTGAAAGGCTCTCCCCCACTCTCTCCTCACACCCGAACCTTTATATATTCAGGTGCATTAAGGTGCATTCAGGTAGTACGCTTTGCGCCAACCTAAACAACGTACGAACTAAACGATGAATAAACACAAGTAAATTTAACATGTTATATGTACAATACACGCGCTATATTCTAAGATGTAACAGAGTATGGCATAGTTATATACTTAGCGGGTAGAATATTGTATGAACATAGCTTTTTCATCTTTACAAAATAGTTACAGAACTTGATGTCGTGAAATGAGATCCTGTCTGTCACAGCAACTGTGAATCAAACATCAAACATGAGCGAGATAGAGAGCAAAAATGCACTATTAAAGCCTAAATGCAAACATCCCGATCAGCCGTATTCTGCAAATAGTTGCAACGAAGATGACAACGATCACGATTGGTGGGCGAGCGACAGCGGATCCAGCACAGGATCATATTACTCGGACACCGACAGGTAATTCAATAGTATTCTGTCAGATACTTAAGTGGTATTCTCGTTCTTTAATGATTTCTTACGATCACAGTTCAGTGGTTGAATGGGAATCCGAGATTGGACCTACCGGAGAAGTGTTCTACGTGGAGTCAGCGGAGGAGAGCTTGTTCGAGGATCTTACAGTGTTCGACGGTAAAAATGACAGTCCTCAACCCGAGCTAACGCGTCGTCGTAGCACGAGAGCCGGCAAGCTGTTTCGGCTTATCAGACGTAAGGAGAGCAAACGCTGGAGCACGAGGAATAAAAAGATCAACAGCAGCAGCACGGTGGCGAGCAGTATCGTCGTTCAGGAGAAAGATGCAAGCGGGAGCAAGGAAGTCACATTTCGAGATTTTCAAGTATTAATCGGAAAGAAATCAAGTTGCACGCACACAATATCCGTCATTTATCGTTGTCCCTCGGTCTCAGTGTAACTATTTGTGATCAGGCAGGTGAGATTCGTGAGGTTACACTGTGGATCGATCCTGAAAGAAGGCACAAGCTGGGCAGAAGGGCGACCTTGTGCGAGGCGTACTTTGGCATCACACCCGGCGTATTTTCAGACAAGATCAGAGTTATGGTGGCAGGATTCATACCGGACGGTGAAGCGATGAAGAACAAGAGCATAAAAATTGGCGACTGGCTGCGGAGCGTTAATTCCAGTAACGTTACTTCCCAAAATTTAGATCAGATATTATCTGAGATCACCACACCGTCCAACGTAAGGATTAATAATAAACCTGTCCAGTCTCCGGCGCATGATTGATAATAACTTTATTACTCAATGTGTACATTTTTATGTCTTCAACTTTCCCTTCTTGCTTGCTCGCAGGTAACGTTGGAACTGCAGAGGGTAGCTGGCGTCGATGTTACCGCAAAGCTGCCCCGAGTAAATGAGCCGAAAGTAATTATGTTTTTGCATGAATATATGCATACATAGGTAAGAGATATTATGCACAAAACAACAACGGTGTATCGATCGCATTTTTAGCAATCGGCATTGGTCCAATATTTGGTGAACAAAGAAAACAACAATCTCCACATGGAGTCTTTACTGAATCATCCGCTGGGTGTGATATATCTGAAGACGGCGGATCTCTCGGAAATGGGACAGGAATTGCAGGGTGTGTTGTACACATTCCCGCGATCCGAAACTAAAAACGTGTATTCCTCTTTGTGCACGGCAAGGGGAGCTTTCATAACTCTTAACCACCTGTTACCCAGTATAACAGGCCCGCAACCTGTCAGGTATACATAAGTGTACGTCGATATTGCGTATGGGAGACGAATATGCGTCATATAAGTGCGTATTTTCTAGCACAACTGTCCACATAGGTGAGGAAGAAATGCACATTGTATACACATCTCACGATGAGGAGTTACTTTTGATAGCTTTACCTGAGAAATGGTGAGTTCGGCTGAAATACGATAAGTGAAAAAGGCGCGGAAATTTGTATAATAAATTCTACTTGTCCATTCTTTCAGGTGTACCCTGCAGGAGGCTGTCAAAATTACCGAAGACGTGGTCAGAACGCTAGAATTTACTTATCAATCGTTGACGAAGTGCTTCACCGCTCCGGAAAATCAGTCTTCCTTGGATCACTTTTTCGTACTAATTATGCACAGATTAGTGAATATCAAGGATTCGGGTAACGATGCCGACGCTAAGAAACATATTGCGGCGGAGCCGCAAAACAGCGTGGAAAGCACGGAAAATTACAAGTTCAGGAGTGCTTTCTCGGTGGCAAGTTTCATACAGCTGCCCAGGGACGCGCAAATTCAAATAGACGCCGCACTGAGTGAGATGGAAGCTATGGATTACCGAGATTGGGTATACTGACATCTCCTTAAACTTCTGTATTCTGAATAAAATGAGGAATGTGTGCTCGTAAACCGGTCGGAGATTTAACAGACGCGATTATGTTCGACATAGAACGAAGACCCTATGGATTGTCAGAGACTGTACACCATACTAGGTAGCTGCGTTTACCACAAATGCTATCTCTTGGGGTCCCATTTACCTCACGATGACTTGATCGACGTGCATTCGTTTCTGAGACACAATGGCCTATTGAATCTGATGAGTCAGGAACAAGTGAAGTGTCTCGTTCTGTGGAAACAGATTTATCCGTCATCTTGCAATCGTGGCAACGTCAACGGTAACGACGACGATCAATTATCGATACCCAATGGAAAGTGGTTTTTATTAGTCGTTGCGTACGGACATGATTTACTAGCGGTTTTGTTGGAATCCGGGGGATGCACCGCGAAGTAAGTATGGTTACATTATTTAGGTGTGTATAGTTAAAAAAAAAAACGGTTTTTCCCGAGCCTTCAAAACAAAAATTGTATATATCGCACATGGTATGCAGAGGTATTATTTTTTACTCAAGTTTTACCGTACCGTGCGGATACAGTGACGCGATAGGTCCCGACGTATTTTACGTGGAAGAAGCCCAAGAGACATTGAAGCACGTGCAAAAGATAGGAGTCACGACTTTGGCCACGAAGTGGATTATGTCTAATACCAGACCAGAAGTAATACCGTACGAGGAGCACACAACGACGAAGCCCTCGTCCAGCATAACGGAGAACCTGTTCGGCTTGATAAAATCGTCCGATGCACAGGCTGCGGCTTTTAAGCAAAACGTTAATCCTGCTGTTAACAAGAAGCCGCAAGAACTGCCTTCTATCTTGAAGAAACGCAGCCTCGAAGAAAGTCCTATGATCTCGGGTTCCGGTGAGTTACAATCTCTTAGGGCATACCCGACCCGAAAGTCTCTTATTTTAACTCGATTCATTATTTATTACTAATAAATTAATCTATATTTAATTTATAACGGTATAAGCATTTGTCTCTCGTATGCATTTAGTGTATTCCTTGCAAACGTCTGAGGATTCGCTCAGCCAAGGAACAGGTGGCATCAGCGAAATGAGCGATGAAGCGATGCCTATACTCGGAAGGCGGGCGACAAGAGAAAAGATCAACTCGGCATCGAGATACTCCGATGACAGTGACTCAGATATCGACATGTACAAGGTAACTATTCTTTACCTAAGAGATATTTTGCGTTTAACGCGACGAAGAGTCGCGTTAAAGTGAAGTTTTCCAGACAGTGACACGTCAAACGAGTGATTTGAGGAAATGTGTTAAAATAAAAAAAATTCGTAGCATGTCTCACAAGTAATATCTGTAAATTTTCTCGCAGAATGATAGCCACGTGCTCGCATTAGATATATCCAACATACGGGAGAACTTGTTAAACCAAGCAGAATATTTGATACCGAAGAAGTTAACAGCAGGTGACAAAAATTATCTGTATCATTATGTTCACTTAGACATGGTGGAAGGGATTATATTGTCGTCGATACCCGTTCAAAATACGTCGAAGGATAACAGGATCCTTGTCAACTTCAACAAATGCGTACACGTCATTCACCGATTATTACACAATACGGTGAGATTTAAAAAAATGTTGAATCAGGATATGGACAAAACTGTTATCAATAGAAGTTTAATCGCCGTTAAGGAGCACGGTGTGCTGTTTGAGTGGGAGAACACAGCTTTTTGGGTAATCGGACGCCTTTACACGAGTCCTCATCCCAAGGAATTGTATGTGTGCTATCAGGATTCTGCGCCCCAAAATTTGATTGAGATAGCTTTTCAGTTGCACACGTAACATTTACATTTTACTTGCACAAACAAACAACAATTATACATTTCCTTCTGTAACAAATCTTTTTATTAAAAGTATGCTTGTATATTATGTATAACTTTGACAACCTTTGATAATCCATTAATTGACAAATAAATATGCGGATAAGTTTTGATTTAACGTTATTTACAAAGTTTGCAATTGCATATTTTACTTGCTCGTTGCAGAAATTTAAAAATATATACCTACATGGTGAAAAGCACATATATATATATTTTTTTTCTGTATACATATACATGTGAGTCTGCAAGTATGATTATCGCAAATAACCCCATCGTATGTTATTATAAAAATAGATGCGAGACGCGTTTGCAAGAAATATAAATATAACTATATAACCGTCTCGAGACGAATATAAATGCAATAAGTTACTGAGGAGAGGGGCTTTCTCTGTACAACCATTTAAAATAATTATCATTATTGCTTCAGGAATAATATTATTTTATCATGAACGAAATTTTATTCCTTGAAAGCAATTTTGTTCCTCGGAGAGAATTTTTATTCCTCTTGAAAAAGAGTCTATTCGTCGAGAATTGGTGGTGTATCTAGATCATCTTGAGTATATTGAACCGGAGGAACCCTCACATAGACACACGCTCCAGCCATTTTACTACCGTAATGCCCTGCCCAAAATGATCTGTCTATTCCACCGTGACAGAAATTAATCTTCCTGACGCCGGTTCCATAATTCTCAAATACATGCGAGGCCTGTGAGGCAGCGAAGCATGTATGTAAAACAAGAATAACTTCAAAGATAATACATAATGAACTTAATGTCCATTAAGTGAAACTTGATTATTCCAATGGAACTCACACGAAACCATTTGTTCTGTTTCTCCCCTTCCAAGTTATCATGTAATTGGAACACATCTACCGAGGAGAACGAAGGATGTAAAGGCATCCCATCTCTCAACAATCTGACTTGACACTCGTAAACTGCTGGACAATCCCATCGACAGCTGTACCATTCACTCACCTGCAACATGATATGTTATTATATCTGTAACTGTGGCCTCATTGCAACCTTATATCATTTTTACGATACTTCTATAGGTGGCTGCAACACGTCCAGCACGTACGGAGTAAATCCCTCGTCTATTAGATCTATCTGCTGTGTTTTGAAGCAAAAGTGATAAGATGTCACGAAGCAGTTCTGCTTCCCCTCGAATACTGATTCGGTCATCGGTAACTCAGGTACACCCTGAGGTGGATTCTCAATCGCCCATTGATCGCCACCCTGGCTGATAATCTGCCAGTGACGACCGACTCCATCCCCTCCGGAGTGATTTTTTATCAAGTTTCTCTCGAACGGTTTCTTCTTGCATATCAAATAGAACACGCCCCAAGGTATATTTTTACCCCGTGGAAATGGCTTGCCCAGTGTCATCTCTACCTTCTTAGGCCAGACATAACTCTGTATCAGCATCTTCCAGCGTTGACACACCAATTGACAATTCAACAGGGTCTTGAGATTGCTGTTGCAGAAAATCTCCACTAATAGCTCAGACGGGATATACTTGTCGCAGAGGACAAGCCCGTTATCTCCCTTTTCGTTGAATAACACACGAGTAGGAGTCATAGTGGTGTTATGAGATTGACCCATTTAATCTGTCAAACAAACAATATTTGCATTACAGCGGTGCAACACGATATGTCTTTGAATCGTAATCGAAATAACGCCCCGAGCGTTTATCTCTCGAGTTTATCTCTCGTGTGAATAATCCGCTGACCGTGATATTTTTACTCATTACGTTAGCGTAGGAAGCACGCCGCGGTCTAATTTCATTCATCGTAAAACGCGATGCTTTCGGAGTAACGTTAATTTGTATCGCGAACTTGAACTGATAATAAATTTTTTATGTATAAATGTTGTTACGCTAACGAGTAACGTGACGTAATATGACAACTGCTACGGAACTATGCTATTGACGTAACCTAACTAAAGTCACACGACGCGATCACGATGTAAATAAAGAATATTGATGCGATGTCGCGCGTAAAATCACTTATTATGCCGTGTAGTTTGAATTGACTGATAAAATGTGGAGGTTGAAATTAATAAAAAAACAGAGATTCGCGATTTACCGCCGTACTTACATGCGGGATGTAAGTTCCTATGCAAGCGATAAGACAGCGATGCACCTAATTTAATGAGTCATAACTTATGACGAAAAAATACGTGACAACTGCACATGTGATTACTAAACTGCACAGGAAATGTGAAGAATTTTCACGAACGTGTGAATGTGTTATTGACTCATTTTATTTTATATATTTTAGTTAAATGTCGTTCTTAATTTTTAAGACATATAGTGTAAAGATTTTTGACAATTAGCACGAGACATATGACTATATCAGAGATTTCTCCTCTTTTATATTACTCGCTTTGGACAGGAAAGCAAATAGTTCTGCTTTTTATTCATTCTTGTTAAAATAAAAATTCAAGTTACAAAGAATGATAAAAAAGATAAGCATTAAAGCTTATCTGTAAGCAAACAAGCATAAAGCAAAACAATGAATGAAAATTGCAAGTGCAGTCTCCCTCCTAGAAATAAAATTGAATTCTAAGGCTTTCGACGGTTTTATTCCCACATAGTTCATATCCCCTCTCTATATAAAATTTATTTAATCATACCGAATTATCAGAGCCAATGATGTAATATAAACAAGGGATATATTATACACTGACCACAAAAGAATTATATTTCAAACACGCTTTTATTTCCTTTTATGTTATATATGAATATACATAGCACTTAGAGGAAATAAGTACGTGGCTTACGAACACTGAACAACGGCATTCTGTTCCTGTGATGGATTCTCTTGGGCAGCGGGAACTTAATTTTGGAGTCGTGGAATTGCTTAACCTGTGGCCTGCGGCAGTTCGCAACCTCCACAACAGCCACCTTAATAATCTGTATCGAATGTGCTCTCGCACGATGACGCGCACCCATGTCTCTATAACACTGAGTTATAGCTCCACTGACGGAGAGATCTCTGTATTCCCTGTACATATTGTGTGTACCGGAACGGGAGTCATATCTCAGCCAGACACCAAAGTTCTTGATTTTCATTGGTGTTTTCTCCGATATCTGAAATATTTACTCTTCATGTTATGCTTTTGTCATCATGATTAGTACAACAATTGAAAACAATTGTACCATTATATAGAACACTTTAACACACTAAAATAACATTCATAACAATAACAATTGTAACGATAACAGTCTATTGAGAAAAGTACCTGCTTGAGAGATACGATTTCTCCAGTAGATTTCTTGAACTTTTTCAATTGTCGCAAGAAATACCAGAACCTGGATTTGGCAACAATCGCATCGGGAGCGAATATACTCATTTTGTATAGAGGCGTGGTCTTCTCCTTCTCCGTAGGGAGCTTGCGCCCTATCACTTCATATTCCTTTAACTAAAAATGATAGAAAACAGTATGATTATCTCAATATTTTCATCTTAAATTAATTGGAAAGTTATATGAGCACGTGTCGGTGTGCATGTTGTAGGTTATGCGTTAACAATATAACCTAAAACTGTATTTAGGGATTTCATACGAATCCTGGATAAATGTTTGTCGCATCAAATTGGGAGAGATTATTTTCAATGTTAATCTTGCTTGTTATTTCCGAGAAATTCGCAAAAATTACTTACTTGTCCCTTGGCTTTCATTGTTTCACGTACTTTGTACAACACAGGTAAGGGTCAATTGGTGTTTGCAATTGGACGGCAAAACTCAAATGGTCTTCACAAGTTTCGAACAATAACTCTCTTTTGTCACTACCAGAGGGCGCTGATGTCGGTAGAAAATAAAGTTTACTTTCATTATGACCGGAAATATCTATGCCATCTTAAAAAAACCGCTAATATTAAATTCCATTTCAGCTCACTTTAGTTGTCCATGTCGGCTGTTTGAAAATTTTGTCATGATATTTTTATTAATCTTCTTACAAATATAAAAATGTTTTAAGCTCACAGATACGTGGAATAATCGTGGAGACTAAACTGTGAATAAAAAATTGCAGATGCAAGTTTCTCTATTGAAAACACTAAATCTTAACTCCAAGACTTTTGTTTTACTTTTACATAATACATATCTTTTCTTTGACATAAAATTATCAAATTTGTATCGGGGCAAATACGCGCGAGAAATATAGAAAAGAAATCGCATAATCCGATTACAAAAGATTATATATCGAATGCATTTTTATTTCCTTTAATGTTATATGTAAATGTTATATATAAATGTACATAGCATTTAGAGGAAATAGGTACGTGGCTTACGAACGCTGAACAATGGCATTCGATTCCTGTGATGGATTCTCTTGGGCAGCGGGAACTTAATTTTGGAGTCGTGGAATTGCTTAACCTGTGGCCTGCGGCAGTTCGCAACCTCCACAACAGCTACCTTAATGATCTGTATCGAATGTGCTCTCGCACGATGACGTGCACCCATGTCTCTATAACACTGAGTTATAGCTCCACTGACGGAGAGATCTCTGTATTCCCTGTACATATTGTGCGTACCGGAACGGGAGTCGTATCTCAGCCAGACACCGAAGTTCTTGATTTTCATTGGTGTTTTCTCTGGGATCTAAAATATTTGTTCTTCTTAAAACTTAGATTAATTACTCTTCATTTAGATTCTTCTTAAACCACAGTTAGTGAAATAATTGAGAAAACAATCGTACTATATAATATATGCTTTAACACCAAAATAATAAGAATCCATTAACAATTACAATGATGACACTCCATGGAAACAAATACCTTCTTGAGAGATACAATTTCTCCGGTGGACTTTTTGAACTTTTTCAACTGCCGTAAAAAATACCAAAACCTGGATTTTGCGACAATTGCATCCGGGGCGAATATACTCATTTTGTACAGAGGCGTAGTCTTCTCTTTCTCCGTAGGAAGCTTACGTCCTATCACTTCGAATTCCTTTAACTGAAAAAAAGAAAGCGGAGAACAATTATTTCCAGATTGTCAGTTTGAATTAATTGGAGGATTAAGGGAACATGTGACGTGTAAGTATAGGTTATGTTATGCAAAATATAAATTTAAAACTCCGCTTAATGTTTTCACGTAAATTCTGAATAAACGTCTGACGTATCAGAAAAGAGAGAATAATTTTCAACATTTTTCTTGCTTGTTACTTTCAAAAAATTAGCAAAAACTACTCACTTCACCCTTAGCTTTCATCGTGCCGGATGCTTCGTACAACGATGAACGGGAAAAGAGCGTCCGCCATTGTGCGCGGAAGTGAGGCCATTACATTTTTCAGCGGCCAGTTTAAAATGTGAGTGAAACTGATATTTTACCGATATGCTGTTAGGTAAAAATCGAAAAATGTACAGTAGCAATGTTGCTCCGGAAAAACTGAGATATATCAATACATTCGCTATGATGACTTTTAACACAAGGGGGCGGAAAAAATAAACTTAAATGCAACTTTTTTTTTATTAATCCTAGTTTCAGATAAAAGCTACAAATAAAAAACTCCTTACTAATTATGTGTTTTTAGCATGCGCGTTCGCTGTTTACGTAGGATGTAATGATTTAATTCGTAGGAATTAACTAAAAACCAATTTCCTAAATTTATCACACTACATTTCCCTCTCACATCTTTGCGGCAAAACTTCAATAATTACTGCCGATTCTTCGTTAAAAAAGAAAAAGTCACAAAAAAACATTTCCGCTACAAACACGCCTGTCTGTCCGTAAGTATGCAGTCGTTTAACTTTAGCAAGAAACGCGAACTAAATCAATTGCACTGTATTGCTTCTGTGCAGTCGTAAATCGGGAGATAACGGATATTATTAAAATTTTCATCAATGTCCTCTCGCATTGTATAAGATTAAGGAAAACAGTTATAAAGACATCTTGCGACCCTCTATAGATATATGCACCGCTCTCCTCGCCGACTTCATTCGTTTGCTGTCCATGTAGTTCTTCATGTGCCTCTCGAACCGGCTCATCGGTTTCTTAGTGCTCTGCAAGGAATAGTAGAACAATACAAACGCTATAGCGTGTATATACGAGGGTTATTAAAATCGTTTTGAAACAAAAAAAATAAACACAATAGGCATACCCTAGTAATGTCAATGTCAGTTTTCCAGTCTGGTCGTACAACATAATCTCTGTCAGATGGCCTAGGAACTCTGGCTCTCCCCACCCACCCAGGATCTCCTGGTCTCAGTGGTCTACAAATAAGATAAGGTATAGTTTATACAATTATGACGTGATATATAATTAAATCTTGTCTTATCTCGTTATATTATCAAAGACATACTTGGCGTCTCCCTTCATAGCTTTATTGATATCTTGCGACTTTTGGGAAGACCCGGCGTCATCGGCTTTCCTTCTTTTCTGAGGCCTTTGTTCCAGATCCCTCTGTAATCTCTCCTCCTTGGACAACGTCTTGAAATCGGTGGACAAATTAAAGATAGGCCGGGCCCACTCACTGATCAACTTTCCAGCACGCTCTTTGTTCTCTTTTGTTTCCTTCGGATGCTTGTAGAGGTACATCACGGCTTTCCCGATGCCAGACTGCTTCAGCGAAGCTTGCTCGATGTTCGGGAACTGCAGACAGGTAACACGGTGTTATTAAAGTTTCTTTAACCGAACTTTTATCATGCTATGAGATTTGCCATATTTAATCTTACCTCCCATAAGAGTTTCAGAAGGCTGTCTCTGATCTTGAGAGATGGTAACGACCGATCGGGCATCGGTGCCAACCAATCGGTGAGAACCGATAATACATTGTGTTCCAGGAAGGCTAGTTGCAAATCATGCTTCTTCAACTGCGACAATACTTTCGGTAACATGGCAATCTTATTTGTGGCAGGTTTATTTTGCTGGTTCAATTTTCGATCTTCGTCAGCCGCGCTTCTCATGTCCGATAACAGTTGCGCTATAATATCGTCGTTATCGTTAATGATATCGATGTCCTTGCGCTTACGTCTACGAGATTGCTCTTCTTTCTTTCGCGCTAACATGCGCTCGAAATCGGACATCGAATCATCCCTGCAAAGGATGGATTTCGTTAATAGTTCTTTTTTTTTCTAGTCTCGATTATGCTGAATTTATTTTTCAATTTTGTTCGTCCTATTTTAATACTCTATCAGGTGCAGTTCTACATTATTTGCATAAGAAATATTATTAAGAAATATCGATCACAACAGAAGAAGGAGTTAGTTGGGGGTTTTTATCAATTATATTGGATGTTAGCTGCTCGTGTGGTTTTGTGCGAGATACTTTGCGAAGAAAATTATTCTACCTTTCATGCACACAGTTTTTTTACTTACAAATATCTGCTGCTCCTGCAGATAGCGTGTGTTAATAATTACATTACATTACTTTATATACGCGCATATGCCTTGCGAAATAATAAATATTTATTTCACAAAGAAAAGCAAAGTCTATCTAAACTCTTAAAAGCTATACAATTTTCACAATAATACGTGGATATACTGTAGCTTCTTTTTCATAATAAAGATTCAGAAGTTCGATTTCATGTAGCGTCGTAAGTATAGTTGAACATGTACTTACATTCCGCTATCATGAATAATTCCATCGTCGGAATCTGCATTATCCTGTTGTTCGTTAACGTCAATTTCATCATCTAATTCTTTCCGTTCCCGATCTTCACCTTCCCCCTTGTCAGCCGCGTCATCGCCTTTCTTCTTCCCATCCTCATCGTCTCGATCCTCACGTTCCGAATCCGACAATCCGTGCCTCGATCGTTTCTTCGCTTTGTTTTCTTCATCGTCCTCCGAGTCTGATAATACTCTATTTCGCTTCTTGACAGCGCCTTCCGAGTCTCTGCTAGGACTTCTGGATTTTCGGGACCCGGAGCCTGATCTCGATCTAGATTTAGATCGCGACTTGGAACGCGAAGAGTGCCTAGACCTAACTGCCGAACCGGATCTTGACCTCGAGCGTGATTTAGACCTCGACTTCGATCTCGACTTCGATCTCGACTTCGACCTAGACCCCGACCTTGATCTTGGACGTGAACCTGAACGTGATCTTGAGCCAGATTTCGATCTTGAACGCGATCGTGACCTCGACAGCGATTTCCTAGATCCAGAACGGGATCGAGACGCTCTTGAGCCGGAGGGGGACCTCGACTTAGATTTACTGGAACGCGAGCTGGATCTGGAACGTGAATTCCTTCCCGAGCGCGCCGGGGATGCAGAACCTTTGCGTGACCTTGACACGGACCTCGACTTGGATCTTGACCTAGATTTGCGTGACCTGGATCGCGACCTTGAGCGCGAGCCCTTCCTCGAACCAGACACGGATCTGGATTTTGATCTGGACTTAGAACGCGATAAAGCCCGACCTTCCGCCGACGGAGATCTCGATTGTTTCCTAGACCCGGAACCAGATCTTGATCTAGATCTTGACTTAGATTTTCTCTCTGCTGAATTGGAACGGGACCTAGAACGCGAGCTCTTCCTTGACTCGGGTGAACCCTTCGCAGAGCGTGACTTAGATCTTGAACGTGATTTCGATCTCGAGCGTGATCTCGATCTCGAGCGTGATTGTCTGGTGCTAACCGGAGATCGATTTGGCGATGTCGGAGGCGAGCGAGAACCTTTCTTCGATCCAGACAGAGACCTCGATCTCGATCTTGAGCCGTCTTTGATTTTCGGACTAGCCGATCTCGATCTGGACCTGGATCTTGTGTGGGAAGACTTGGGCGTACCAGGCGGGGAAGGTGAGTGGACAGTTTCTTTCGGGGAAACGGAACGAGATCGAGAATGTGATCTCGAACGTGATCTTGAGCGTGATCTTGAACGAGATCGTGATTTAGATGCCCGAAGTGAGGGAGACCTTGAAGACGATCGAAAGTTGGCTTTCGGCGAGGCATCTTTGGACGGGGAGTTATCGGGCTTTTCTGAATTAGATCTAGATCGGGAACGTGAGTTGTCCCTCGATGCTGCGCGAGAGCTTTTCCTGGATCCAGATCGAGAAGAACTTCGGGATCGTGAGCCCGATTTTATTGAGCGATGAGAATGTGGCGATTGCGAACCGTTTCTCGCTTCTTTCTCTGCAAGTTCCGGAGAGTGAGACTTGGAACGTGATCTTGAGGTACTTCTTCTGTAACCAGATTTAGAGCTTGATCTAGATCGTCCCCGTTTTGCATTTGATGATGAAACGGATCTACTTGGCGATGGTGATCTGGATGGTGTTCTAGAATACGATTTCCTGGAACTAGCGTTGGAACGAACAGAAGCTGGTGAGCCATTCCGTACTGGAGATGATGGATTAGACCTTTTAGAGAATTTAATATATAAGTTATAAGAGATATACAGATGAATAGGTAAATAATGACAAATTTATTACCTGGCTGGTGAAGATTTGGGACTAACGGAATTCGATTTTGACCTCGATCTGCTCCTTGCTACACTAGCTGACCTTTGTGAGTCGGGACTAGCACTTCCAGACTTGTCACCTTCTTCTTCCGAGTCACTTCTTACATCTTAACATAAATATATTACATGAGAAATATTAAGCTTCTTTAATCAAATTTTTTAACAAGCAGACAAAGTGAAAAACATTTGATTTTATTGTTTTTCCGTATCCAGCTGTTTTTAAATCAATACATTGGTTATAAATATGAATATGTCAGCACATTGAACAAAGATGTTTACAGCAATTCGATATCTATAAATCAATAAACGATATCTAATGATATCTCCCAAGAAACAGATAATATTGATTTATATCAATTGATAACAAGATTTTATATATAGATACAATATAAGCTATACATATCATCTATGATGACAGTAAGTAATCTATAAAGCATTATATAATGGCTCGTCTTTTTCTTTCATTTTGTAAGTTTGATTTTTATATTTTGTTTTTATTAAAAGCTTGTGGGTAAACTGGATGATAATATTTATATACTAACAATATATGCACATCTTTCATTACACAGATATTTTAAATATGTATAGATTATATCTGATTTGATCTAATCTATTAAAAATTAATAAATTTACTTACTTTCAACTTTAACGTTTATAACAGCACAACATGCTTAATACATATTTTTTTCTTTTTTCAGTATAAACAGGTTCGGCAGATTCACTACAGATTTTTCATGATATTGTAAAATACTGAAATTGTATCGTCAAGTTTACAAACCAAATAATTTCACCAATTTTTAACAGATTAGATTAGGTTAAGTTGGATGTAATCCACTTTACGCATATTTAAAGTATCCCTATACTAATATAAAAAGTGTATATATAAATGTTATCGTTCAGTTTACCTGTAAACTTTTAACAGAAACGAAATATAAAAATAAGACGAAATATAAGAAACAAGGCATTCCATAGCGACTCACAGATTACTCAGTCTACATAAATATTATATCACATGTAGTTTACATTATCTATCCGTAGGCGCAGATTATGAGTATTTCATAAATAATTTTTAACTCTGATTAATAGATTTAACCAAATAAACACAGAGAAAAGCATGTAATTTTATTCACCTTCAAGACTCATGGCATCTATATATAAATATAACCAAAGGTTTTAACTGTTGTCACGCGATAATAAGGAAAACTATTGCATTAATCGGTCGTAAAACTAACGCAGATAACCGTGAACTTTTATCCCCGGTGATAAATTAAAGCCGTTAAATCAAAGCACAAGCAATATTTCTACATTAATGCAACACATAAAACGACGGGACCTCGACACAACTCAACCACGCTACGAAGTACCGAGCACACCGGGAATACCGAGATCTCTAAAAAAATATCTATGCCGTTCCGCGATTAGCCCATCTGTTCGAGACTGCTGATCTGTCATTCGTCGGAGGGAAAATCTCCAGAAAACCGGAAACCTCTTTCGAGAATATACCGGGAATCCCCTATGCGACGGAACCTTGATGGACCAATGAGCGAGAAGCCGGCAATTAGCCGCTCCGGCCACAGATGTCTCCGTAGGCGGCGCGCGTTCGCGCGCCGTCTAGCAGTCACTTGTCGCACGGCGTCCGCGAAGAGCGCCGATCGCTGCCGAGTCAGGCCGAGCCGCGCGCACAGGGCACACTATGGCGGCCGTGGCAAAATTTTCGCCGTCTGCGTGAGAGGGATTTACGCATTGTTGGTACGGAGCCGCGAATCACGGTGTCGGTGATCGGCGCGCGGCCGCCAACGCCGTAAGCCGGTTTCTTCGGGCGAGCAATCGCGCGACACAGCTCGTACGCGCCCCGCGACAACCCGTCGGAGCGGCCCGATGCGGGTCGCGCGCGCTCGTCGTAGGGCAAATGATGACTTCGATGCTGCCCAGCTTTAACCCGCCTATCGTCAAGCGGCTGCTGGGCTGGAAGAAGGCCGAGAGCGAGGACAAATGGAGCGAGAAGGCCGTTAAGAGCCTGGTGAAGAAACTGAAGAAGTCCGCGGGCCTCGAGGAGCTCGAGAAGGCCATCACGACGCAGAGTTGCAACACCAAGTGCATCACTATACCAAGGTAAGCGACATACGCGTCTCGAGCATGTGTGAGTGTTCCTCCCGGTGCGTAAGCGCGCGCGTGAGCGAACGAACGGACGAGCGAGCGAGCGATGGTGTTGCGCGACATTGTATGTACACAGTGGAGAGAGCGAGCGAGAGAGAGAGAGAAGGAGGGAGGGAGAAAGAAAGATTCGGTACTTTGTACGGAAAAATTCATGCGAGGATCGGGCATGTGGGAGCGAGGGAGACAGATGGAGCACGAGAAACGAGAGAGGAAGCGAGAAAGAGACAGCGAAGGGGAGAAAGCGCGCGCGCGCTGTCGTTGATACGTACGTGTGTGCGTCGCGCCGCCGTGTGTTTACGACGAGTTGCGAGTGTGCGTCTCTCCATCTGTGTACGCCGGTACGGTGTTCCTCTTGCGCGTTCGTACGCGCACGAGACGGCGAGACGTTCGTAGAAAGAGATCGAGCCGTACATCCCCGACGTTGCGCGTCGCTTACGTCCGCTCGTTCATTCGCTCGTGTTCACGAGTCTATCTATGCGTGCGTGCGGATTCATGTGCGCGCACGTCACTAGGACGGTAAGCGGCGGCGGACCGCCCGGTCGGTCGCACGCACGTCGCTGTCACTCGCTCCCGATGCGGGCCGTGGCAGCGCGTGACACGCACCGCGAGGAGCGTGGCGCGCGTCCTCTTTGTTGTGTACACACACACGGACGTCCGGAGGACGCGAACGCCGGCGACGGTCACGTTTGAAGCCGGCCGACTCCGCTTGCTCCTTCGTAGCCGTCGCGATAGCGCGCGTACAGGTAAACAATAGAGACCTCACGTGCGTGAGGACGGGGCACGTGGCCGGAGTCTTCTCTCTGAGTACGCTAATGGGGGTGGAAACGGAGGGTGGTGTGTAATACAGGGAGCCGATTTGTCCGTTTGAAGTTTGCAAAAGCGTGAGTCTCGGTCGAAGAGAAGGGAAAGAGAGAGGATATTAATCGCGAGGAAAAGCGGAGATGTCGACTTCGCAAGTGACTGTTTTCCGTTTAGCGATATGTCGAGTCGACACAAGCATCATTTTCTTTGTTTCATATTCGAGGAGCAACAAAGGTAAAGCAATGCTTGCGTAGACTTGTGTCAGCAAATGAGCAGCCGAAATTTGCTTTCTGTGTGGTCAGTTACAGAAAGGTCGCAACGTTTCTTTCAATTAGTCTCGCTACGCATCTCGCGTCTAATAGGAGGAAGTTGTATCACCTGAAGATGATCAAAAGATAAATTCTCCTATTGGATACAAGAGAAATGCGTCCCGAAATTCGTTAAAAAGAGTGTTTCAGCCTCTTTGTGACTATATACGGGGAGAAATTTCATTAAAATTATATTCACAGTTTCAGCCTCGACTGGATCTTCTTCTTAATCCGAATAATGACACATAAGGTTGAAACTATTACAATCAGAGCCGTTATGATCTTACCATCACAATTAGAGTTACTTTTGCGATCTTCAACTTTGTACGTTACGAATTAAGCGTATAGTGGACAGCAGGAATATGTTGATAAAAAGTAAGAATGAGAAATTGACATTCATGCTCGAATGTAAGAAGAATAATCGACTATGTTTGGTTAATTTCTTACTCTTATTTCTTCTGAACATACTCCTACTATTCATTGCAGGCCACGTTTAAGGCTGAGAATCGCGTGCGACTTCGTCTGTGGAAATGGTACATCATACATGATGCCGACGGTGCTACCAGATTTTATATTAGAGTACACGTGACGCCGTCACGTACACGCATACGTTCGTCGTGTTTGTATTCCCGGCAGAGGATGCACCGTTTCCCTCGGTACGATCGATACGGAATCGTCTGGCTGGCCGTCGAGATCGCGAGGCAAGAGAGAGAGAGAGAGAGAACGCGCGATGACGCAAGCGCGATCTCTCCTTAGCTCGCGCGCGCGCTCTCTCAAAGAAACTCCGAAAGCGACCGCCGCCGCTGTCTCGCGTGGGCGGAAGAACATTTATTAATCGCTTGCAAAGTGCGTAATCGCGCGTACGAGAGGCGCGAAGTAGCGCCTTCGCGGTATGCCGCCGAGGCTGCTCACGGAGGGACGGAAACGCGCGATGCTCGCGGATAACCCTCGACCCGCGAGCGGTAATCCGGATGGATGAATCTCGACGTTTTCTCCGAGACCGCGGACGACCGCGTGTCGCGGACGTGTCTCGCGCAAATATACGAAAACTAAAGGTGGATATACACTGAACGAACGAATGGCGAATGTGCGAAGTGAGAAAAAGATATCTTCAAATTTAATAAATTTTATTGCATCCAAGCAAATTTCATCATTGGCATGCTGCGAAGGAACTAACGTTTCGATTAATAAGTACGATTATTAAACTTTTTAATGAATATGTATTTTTATTTTAAATAAAAAGAGTTGAGAGATAATTTTCCTGTAAAGAAATTATTTGTTTTATTTCATGTATTTATTGTAACCAAATAATGTTTTATTTGATTAAAAAATATTACTTTAAATAACAGCGTTTTTTTCTGTTAAATAATAGAGTTTTCTCGAATGAGGCAATAACTTTTACCCAAACAAATAATATTTCGTATATGTTGTTTCTATGAAAAAAAAAAAATGCTAGCCAAATAGAAATACTAAATCTAAAGATTTTTTCTCTGTGTGTAACACGAATGTGTACATTCGCGCTCTAAACGCGCACGGACTTTCTTCGATAAGTCACCTTAAGGGTATACGCCAAGCGAACGAACAATGAACGAACAGCGGATGTGTAACATGAATGTGTATATTCGCGTTTAAGGCTCCGGAATAGTCGCTGTGATTGTCCTCATTTGATGACGTCAGAAGCGAGAAAACTCACGCCAAGATTTTTTTGCGTTATACACTGAAAAACCCATTGAGTTGACTCAAACAAAATTCAGTTGGAATATACTCGAACAAATGTTTCGGTTATGAGAAATTTGATTTTTTGAACCATATGTCTTTAGATTTCTGAAACTAAAGTGAAAAAAGGGTTTAGTTTTAGAGAACTAAACTGAAAAACAGAATTTCTGGCTGCAAGAATCAGATTTGTTTTTCGGATTCGTTATAGCGTGCACATTTTCCAAATTGTAACTACGAAAGTTTATATTTGCCGTTCGTCGTTGTTTTTCCGTTCGCTCAGTGTAAATCTAGTTTAACAAAATATACTGGGAATATTTTTCCGATAGAAACAGAGATTGCGTTCAGCGAACACGACAGTTGTAGTTGAGCAACAATTATTTATGGTTGGTGTATACTTTTAGATCTGCCAATCACATCTGTCTTCCAAAAGTCGATCGCTTAACTGTCGTATTAGCTGAACGCAGCCAAGAGCGACGTAACGAACGATCAGACAAGCGTTAGTTCCGAAAGACATTCGATTCACCGACCATTCGACGTGAAACAATTGGTCTGTTCTTTTTATCTGAATTGATTTACAGTAGTATAGGAAATTTATGTACACATTGAAGCGTACGAAGCATACGTACGAGATTCTCACGCTTCAGTGTGCATGAATTTCTCGAACTGAAGTGCAGCTAGTCGGCCTGAAAAGAACAGACCAATATTTCTGTAGTAAAAAATTTTATGTCAAAAACGGTCCACCGGAATTTTCTGTCACTTTAACATTGAGGAATATATAAGTCAATATATGTTGACAAGGTATTAATTTAGCATTTATATTTGTCTATTTTTCAATACGTGCCCCATGTTAAGGCAACACAAGATTTCTTATCTGTTTTTAACGCAAAATCTCGTACTGTGCTTCTGCTTACTCATTTTTCCCGCGAAGCGGAAAGAATCATAGAAGCGGAAAGGGGTGACGCAATTTGACGAAAGCGTATAATGTCTTTATTTCGCTTGATGATATCAATTGCGACGATAATGCGACGCACGATCGCCCGAAGAAGACATTTTCTAGTTGGAGCCATCGTCGTGTGTGATCCATGTGTGTGTGCACCCACACGTGTGCGTGTGGCAGCAAGGGATGTCGGCCGTTTCAGTCGCTCTTTTCGAACTACACCGCACATCCGCTCTCGGCATTTATATTTGCTTATTTATCATCGAAAAAGGGTGGAAAGGCCCCATTGACAGATAACCGATCGTGATTCTCACATCGTTGCCACGCGCGCTTCTTCCAGGCCGCTGCCGGGCGCAGAGTGCGTTCACGCGTTCGTTGCGTAAGCGCGCGCCGAGCGATTATCGATGATGACATACGCGACGGCACGTCAGCCGAACGAAACTTGTCGGATCATTCCATTAGCAATGTCGTTTCTCGAGCCTAATTTTCAGCGTAAAATATCGACGCCCGCACTTGTTTTCACACCCGATGTGGGATACTGTTTCAAAGGTGTGAGGAAAAATTTCCGTACACACACACATACACAGTTAGCAAATTAATGTTCGCCACGCTATTTTTCCCAGTGGTTTTTTATAGCGAATTCAATCACACTGAATTAGCGTATAGGACACGTTTGTTACATAACGCGTCGAAACGCAGATTTAATGCAGTACTCAGAATTTTTGTACTTTGACGGCTTTCACTTTCTTCCCCTTACTTCTTCCGTTTCTGGTTTTTCCGGGTCCTTCCTCGTCCGGAAGGAGTAAACGGAAATAGAACGTTCTACCTGCACACAAGCGGTGTGTCAAGAATCACCAGGTACTCTATGCATGCACTTCGTTTGAATCTTACGATGAGAATTTTCCTTATCGTATTATTCCGCCTCAGTGTCACGCAAAATTGAGTACGTTGCCACACATAACGAGTACTTTTTTACTGCGGAGCGCGCCGCAGCTCCGAGTAAGGGTTAATCTGCCGACTGTGTGTCACCTAAACAAGATCTTCACGTTTGTTTCAAGCGAGATGAGAAACGACGTTACTTACATGGAATGACCTGACATCTCGCACCATCGACACGATCGCAATCGGATTCGAAGACAGATCGAACAAGACCGTATCTCCGCAGTTTCGGTTATTTATTCGCTCGCACATCG